TTTTTTTTACAGTGTAAAAGTGCAGGGGAAATTATTATCTTAGAGGCAACTTAGAGGAGTGTTTTATTTTGAAATCCATTTAGGAAAATCACTATTTTCATTATCATCCTCAGAGAAAATAGAAGAAATCAAGCAAGCTGTGAGCAGGCACGGATGCAACTGGCAGAGAAAGTTGTGCATGGCTGACTGACTGAAGACGTGAGAGACACAGGCAGCTGGCTCACTGAGCAGTCATCTGTGAGTGTGTGTGTGTGAGAGGGTGTGTGTGTGTGTGTGCGTATGGTTCTCAGCGGCTCCAAATGAAATTAGCCGCCAAGCCGAGTCCTTTAGCAGCAGTCTGCAGCAGAGACTCAAGGTCAGACTCGCTGATTCTGCTGATGCATTTTATTCTCCAGAGCCAGCACCAAGTTGCCGGATGAGGGGTTACCGCTGCCCACCAACCCTTCTTCTCATTCCCACACCCATTCATCCTCCGCACACACTCCCATGCCTCCATTATCACCCTGGTCCGCCCTGGCAAGGGAGTGTGCATTTACCCGTTAAATTAGGTGGGAGAAGGAGGGGGGTGACGGTCTCCGCCGGAGAGCCTGGATACCCTTGCTGACGTGCAGTGCGGGGACGGATAGGCTAAGGTGTCCTGATTTCCCATGTGACTACAGTAATTGTGTTATAATGGAGGTGGGAGCTGAGTGGCCATCAGCAGAGGGACAGAGGTACAAAGCTCCTTCCTGTCGCCATACAGAACAGTGGAGTGCAGAATGAGACAGCAGGGGATTGTGGGTGCAATGTTTGCTTAAAGGCCATGCATGCAGTTTGATGTCAGAGCTTCTTGAGGTGAGGGATTATATTAGCGTGTGCGCCCCAGCTTGTTACAGTGTTTGTATCTTGAGCTGCTGACTTATACAGTTTGCAACCAGATCCCCTCAGGCAGGTAACAAAGTGCTACGCCTCGTAGCCAGCAGTTGGTCAGGTTGCTGTCTCAACACTTGTTAGCTGACTTGATGAGCTTGAAACAGAAGCAACATTTAAACTCCTTCTTGCCTCAGGCTAACGTCACCAACAACATCGATTTTTCCTGTTTATCATTTACACAATTATTCATTCAATTGTCAAATATAATGACAAGTTCTCATCAGTTTTACTGTCATGAAATGATATGAAATGAATAATTTGTAAAGCTGTAAAATATCCAGAAATAGTACTTTTACTCATTAAATTAGAATCATCTCATTTTTTGCCTGTGAATGAAAACAATTAATTAAAATAAATTAATGTGTCGCTATGAAGAGATTTTCAAAGTGTGTATAAATAACCCTGATGATACCAAAAGAAATCCTGCCATACACACTGAAGGTGAGGGTTTTGAAAGATTCAGACATTTCAGAGGCGGGGGAGGTCTAATGAAAGCTGCTACCCAGCTGCATTATGGGAAAGGCAGGATCCAGAGTTTTAAAAATCAAATCCTTTTTCTAATCTGTCTCCTGTAAGTGTCATACTAAATTGCTGGAGTACACTCTTAATGACTGACGCATTTAAACAGCCTTCAAAATGAGAACCATTTTCTGTGGACAAATCAGCTAATGGACTTGAATCTTTAATGCCACCAGAGGTGTCAAAGATGCAGAACACAGACAATTTGCACTTATTAAAAATAGCAATGCAGACATTTATCATTGGTCTTATCTCCTGCACAGTTATCATTAGTGATTCTTCATTTCTCAGTACTTTCATCACTCCTTTCCTGCTCACCTAGACATGTGTACTGTACAAGCTGACCTTAACAAATGGTTCATACCTGTAAGTGTGATTGAAAAGGCACGCACTGATCCAGAGCAATTGTCCTCATGTTCCTCTTCTCCTCTGTCTTTTGTCTTTTAGGCACCATGAGGCCGGTGCAGAGGAACTTCTACGAGCCGTCGTCTGCCCCGGGGAAAGGCGTGGTGTGGGAGTGGGAGAACGACAACGGCTCGTGGACGCCGTATGACATGGAGATCTGTGTGACCATCCAGAACGCCTACGAGAAGCAGCACCCCTGGCTCGACCTGACCTCTCTGGGCTTCTGCTACCTCATCGACTTCAACAGCATGTCTCAGACCAACCGGCAGAGCCAGCGCAAGCGGCGCCTGCGGAGACGCATGGACCTGGCCTACCCGCTCATCATGGGCTCCATCCCCAAGTCGCAGTCCTGGCCCGTGGGAGCCAGCTCCGGCCAGCCCTGCTCCTGCCAGCAGTGCATCCTGGTCAACAGTACGAGAGCCGCCTCTAATGCGATTCTGGCCTCTCAGCGGCGTAAGCACTACGGAGGGACAGCGGGCAACCCGGGCGCTGCAGGAACCCTCACAGTGGTGCGGCAGAGCAACACCTTTGCTGGAACCTCCCTCTGGTCTCCGACATCCACCTCCTCCGGCACCAACAACAATAACATAAGTGTGGGGGGTGGGCAAGCCAAAGCGGAACAGGTGCAGTTGCCACTGTCCACTGCCAACTTCCCCTGTTCCCCCGTGATGCCATCTCTTTCATCCGCCCATGGCCACCACGCTCTCACCATCAACGGACAGAACAACCTGAACCGGCCGGGCACTCAGCGCATTTCCATGGGCACTGCCAGAGGAGCCATCCCACCAGGGTAATGATGTTTGCAAACACAATCATGCACCCTCCTTATTTTCTCATTTCGATTTTCTGGAGTCTGCAGTAGCCTGTTACTTGTTATAGCGGGGACATAATGCTCGGAATCAGTTGAATTTACAGTTCAGCTGAGGCAAAGGGAGGATATAAAAAGCAAAGAGACAATCTCTGTTTCTGGTTGTCTGCTTCACAAAGCTTCAGCCTGCATGTGTCTGGTGTATTGTTCTCTGTCTTTCTCTACCTCTCTCTCATTTATGACCACTCTCGTTAACGTGCTGATCAGCGGATCAGCAGAAAAAGCCTTGGGTCCGGCTGATTCTCCTTTACTGAGGAAGCACCTTCTCTTTCACATGTGTGCTTGCCATGGTTACTGCTCCATAATGAGCTTATGTTGGCCCCAATAGGCGTGAAATACTGCAACGCTGCTTATCATTCTGTTGCTTCTGCGTCGAACTAATTTGTTACTATTGCAGTGTGCTGTGGCTGTCGTGTCATGGGATGTGAAGAAGTCAGACGTCGTATGTGGAATGTGTGGATCTTTTTGTGTGTGTGTGTGTGTAACTGCGGTCTGACATGTGAAGCGGGCTCTGGTGTAGCCGTGGAAACCTATTTGCCATGGAGGCAGAGCTCCACTGGGGAAGAATGAATAATGGATCAAGGAAAAATGGGAGCTTCAGCAGAGCGCTCTGACCTCTGAGCGATTCAGCGAAAGGAGTAGAGGGAAAGAAGTATGTCTAGCGTTGTAACCGATACTTCAGTCCCCTATCCTGCTTTCTTTTACTAAAATAAACCCTCTCCTGATCTAATTTGATTCCATTTTGTTCTTGCCGCTCATGGGGAGAGACACACTTACTGCATGTTTGAATAATACCGTCCTTTACCCAGGCGCACATGCTTTCACTTTCTGTGGCCTAATTTTGTGTCACTGAAAGGAAACGTATAGGGTTTTTGTTCATCATAGCAGGCCATGACCTTGTTTCATACAGCGAGCAGGTGGAAAATGACGAGTCTCTGTGCAAAGGTATATGTGATAGAGAAAACCAGCCTAAGATGACCTACTCAGGGACTCTTCCTCTGTATTTTAAGAATTCAGTGAAAGCTCAGGTGCGCGTGGAGCCATGGATGAAATGTGACTTTTTCACCTCGCAGCACAAAGGTTTTTTTTTTTTTTTTTGCGGAGACAAAGAGAACGAGTGAAAGGAAGAGACGGGGGTGAGGCGGAGTGTGTCGGTTCCCAGGCGAGTGGCTCGACGTACAGGATGAGTGTGGTTAACATAACACAGCAGGACATGAGAGTGCACAAACACACACACACATACACAGACACATAAACTGAAATGTGAACTCCCTCGTAAATTCCCACAAGCATGCTACAGACAGATAACAGAAGAACCCACACAGAATGTAAAACATCAGATCTGTTTTTCACACACCCACACCCTAATATAACTGGTGTTGGGTGCAAGGCTGGTATTTGGCACGCTGTGGCTTATTTACATGAGTTTATATTGCTGCTTTACATACACAGAAACTCTCGCTCACACGCTTTCTGATCACTAGTCTATCTATTTCTACTACATTAATACTTAAGAATTTAAAAAATACTTTGATATATGATTGATCTCATCTTTGCATAAGCTACCACAGCAACGTATGTGTTTTTATGGTATCATTAATGATGAAGTCTGCAGTTCAAATTTTTATCTTTTTATTGTTTCTAGAAATGACTGGTAGTGGGCTATAAATGATGGGGGGGGGGGGGGGTTATGTTGCTTCATGCATTTGTCTTACATGCACAAATATTAGAAGTGGCACCATCTGCTGGTGTGTGTAAACACATCAGTTTATCTTATAACCGGGTTGACACAGCCCACTATATCACCACCTGCCTTTACATGTTACCTGATACAAACTGAAGGCCTGCGGTTTGTGAAACAGGGTCGTGTAAAGTGACGACAGATGCAGGCTGCTATGGATTTTTTTTTTTGTTGAATTATTGAGCTCACACTGTTCACACTGTTGCATGTGTCAGAAACAGGAAATACCTTTATTTACTGTAAAACATAGAAGTAAGACTGCAACTAAAGATTATTTTCATGATTAGTTGGTTGAATAGCTTGGATAAGTACATTTTAGATGCTAAAACAAGAGAAGGATTCACATTTCTGCTCAATCTAATCTAATAAATTTGGCTGTTTCAGCTGAAAGTAGAACAATTGTGATATTATATATTATATCATTATCTTCAAAATTGCATGATAAAAAGTTTTTTATTTATATTTTATACTTGTATATTTATCTATTTGGGTCAATGGATTTTTGGTAAACTTAATTCCATGTTTAGCATGTATAAACACATAGAGACACTTTTAATAAGAACCGACTATAATGTTGAGAGCAGATATAAGAGATTGTTGTTTAACTAATGTACAATAATTGGTCACATCCATCATATAAAACATATGTTCATAGTAATACAACTGTGTTTTACTGTATTGCCATCCACACAGACATCCACTGATGTGTGACCACAGGGGAGTTATAGTTGTTGACAGATATATTATTAAACGCATATCTGCTTACAACTACATGAAAGCATCTTATAAACATTCATTAAACGTTTATATACTGCTTATAAATGATGAATAGGGAAGGATTTCTTTCCCTGATATGATTACATGGAGAGATGAGAGAATTGATTAAATCCTGTCTGTTTAAAAAATAAGGAGACATATTTTGAGTTAGGAATGAACAGGAAGAATTTCACACGAGATCTCTGGGGATTTTTTGAAGTCTTTTTTGTCAGCCAAACCACTTCCTCTTGTGCACTTCTGTATTTCACAGACTGATCTGCGCTGCCTGTCTACAGAAAGAATTATTGTATTTCTGCTCACTGCTTTCTCTGCACAACCTAAACGCATTTAGACGGAGAGGTGTGAAAGAAGAAGTCTGGTCCGGTCTCCTTCGGGGGAAGGGATAAGTGTTTGTTTGCTGTTGACTGTGTTTACGAGCTCCACTCTCTTTGTGTTAAGACTGCTCTTCTGAGTTTTGACTGGAGGGCTGTGTGTCGAGTGCAGAGATCATTATCCCTCAGTGGGCTGCTGCTCGCTCTGCTCCGGCGTCTCACCATAGGATCAAAATTAATGTTGAAATTAATGAATAAATCATGAGAGCTCATCTGGACCAAACTGATGCAATTTGGACATCCCTGCCATCATTATTGTTGATTCTCAGGGCATTTCAGGTGCATTGTAAAGTTGTAACCCCCCTACGTCAGTGTAGCAGGGGGTAGGGCTTGCCTCTGCCTCCCACTGCCCACATCAATATGCAATTAAGCACTCCTGGAGTTCTCTCCCTCCAACCCCCCTCTCACTGTCTTTATGGTGCATAATAAACAGATGAGGAGATATTAGTACTCAGTCAGCACTTTCCTAACTAGGCCTAATGTGGTCTCTCTATTTGGGGAATCACATAGCTCTCAGTCTGATTAAGTCCTCGAGGCAGGCTGGAGATTCCTTCAGGAAAGGATGGATGATACTGAGCAGGAGACAGAAGAGGGACGGCGACCCTCGTGCCCTGACCTGACAGGGGCCATAATTAATGTAGTGTTAATGGGTTTGGTATGTAGGGGCTGGATTTATCACTTAATTGCGTTGGTTTTAGGTCAGAAATGACAGAATTAGATGTAAAAAATACCAGCATTGGAAATTCCTCAGCAGTATTTTGACAGGATTGTGGGTGTTGGTTTTTCATGCAGAGAAGATGGACAGAAGGCAGCGAAGAAGTGAGCATAGGTCAGGAGGAAGAGAAAAATTAGAGTTGGCAGGGCGAAAGAAATGCAGAGGTGACGAGGTTCAGGCTGGTTCGCCAATTTCTTTCCATTGCCTTGTCAAAACTGTGCCAGAGCAGCAGTGTTGTGGTGGAAAGGCAAAAGGTCTGCTCTTGTATACGCTGATGATGAGGTGTAGTTGCTCGCAAGATCGGAGCACGAGCCAGCGCTGCGTATTGTTCAGGATCATTGGATACTCTCTGCATTGATTTTTTTATGCATAGGAGTTAGAGATCAGTAATAACCATGGATTTTGATGCACTCCTAGATTTAACAGTGATGATGGTGTTTTTCAGACAAATGTGATATAAGAGTGGAAGAGGAAGGAGTTAAAGCCAGAATTAAACCCTTGAAGTCATCCAGCATTAGGGGCTTTCTGCAGAGTGTGAGGAGGTGACATGTGTCTTAAACCCTAGCGCTCAAGGCGCAGCCGGGACAGACCAGGTCAGTGCCTCCAGAGGTGCACATTTCAAGAAAAACAAGTCAAGAGAAAAGAGCTCAGCAGTGCAGAATGAGATGGAGGCTGGCAGCTGCACACAGGGTACAGGTTGACTGGCTACAGCCTTGTGCAAGAACAATTTCTGCAGTGCATAGATAGGTAATCACAAGCTTTGCAGAAATAATGAGCTACAGCGCAATAGGAAATTGCTTGCAAGATGTGGATCTATGTGTTTTGTAAAAAATAAACCATAAAGGCTGTGTAGATAAGCGTGTCTTTCAGTCTAGCAGATAATGAACGTCATTCGCTGCAGCTGGTTCGTGTTTTTTTTCTTCACAGTGGTTGTAGAATCAGTGTGTGCAACCATTTCATCAACATTGCATATTTATTATGCAACGTGCTCTCCAGCTGATAGTGAGATCTTTGCTAGAATTGGAAAGCAATAAAGATGAAAAGCATACTAATTAGTGTTATGCTATGGATCCTTGACACATCCTCTGCACTGTGTGCTTATAGGAGTTGTGCACACAGCACACAATGAGATTGTGTTAAGGGCCCTCATGGTGTGCTGTCCCATTTCTTTTCCTAATGAAAATTATTTGTTTGATCACAACACTCTCTGTAAGCAACCTAAATTATACAGGCACTCATAAAGGGAGGCGTCTTGTTCTCGGTGTGTTTTGATTAGATTTAGGCCTAAGTGCACGTTTAAATGAAGGAGGAACTCTCC